AGCTGGTGTTCACAACCATGAACCTGAAGATTCCAAACACATGGTGAACAACAAATGCTGATTTTAACACAACTCACCATACAAACAGTGGGCGAAGTACCGCTCTGTCACCCGCTGCACATGTATGGAAGTTATTTTGTGACTATAAAACAATTTCAGTCTTAAACGAGCGAAAAAACAAAACATAAGTATTTAAGTAACTTAAGTAATTTAAGTAAATTCTTCACTACTGTTGGTGGCCTCAATGCTACTAGTCAACCCAAATGAGGCAGTAGCATTGAACCATAACCCTAAACCTAACCCTGAACCCAGTGGTGGAGTCAGGGCTATGCAGACGTATACTACTTTTTTCCCTGGGCTGTTTGAGTATTAAGACTTCTGATGTCAATAATTGCGTAGACCCTTGCGACACTCACTTGTTTTGCAGTTAAGAATTCCCCAACAAATGTGTTTTCATGTCGCTTTTAAAACACTAGCGAGTGTTTTTTTTTATCTTTCTACCTAGTTTTTTTGCAATTGGTTAATTTTTGTTTTAATTCCACCATTTCCCGCCCCCTGATAACCTTATTAAGTGTTGGCAGCAGCTGTGACAAAAGGAATAATGTTATTTCGAAGATGACGACGAGCCAACTGAAGATTATGAAAAATACACAAGTGATGCAGAAAAATGCTAATTAATCAAGGAACATTGACTTAGTCATTTCTTTGCCCACTTTTATATACAATTTGGGTTTGGTAAGTTATGGTGGAAAGTAGTACACCACCTTTTTTAGGACTACACCACTGCCTAAACCTAAACCAAATGTGTTTTTTGAGTCATGTTGTCTTCAGTTTGTTTTAAGTTGGAAGTGCTCCTCGCATTATTCCGTGTTACACAAGGGCGAATAGATCAGATACATCCTACTTTACCTGGAAGTGTGAGTTGACCAATAATCTTGAAGAGGGGCGTAGATGGTCTAGGGTTGCGAGGCTCTAATCACACATGCCCCTTTAACTGCAAGCCGCAACCAGATACACCTGCACAAATGTCCCATGTGGGCGGGGAAAACAATGGTTCACTTTCATTGGTTGTATGATTTTGATTGGCAGCTCAATGAGTATGAAAAGTATTTCCAGGGTTTTTTCACCAGTGACTCGGTTGAAAAGGCAACGCATTTCAAGATACCGGAGCATATCGGAGATACCCAATGAGTGCGTAGTACTGTTATAACCCGCTCCCTTGGGATATTTGTGCCAGAATGACATTTCAGGATCGCAAAGAAAATGAAAACAAAGAAACTGAGAGCGTAATCAGAACTCTGACATGCAAAATCGAAGCTGAAAATGAAGCCAACAAAGAGTGGAGCGTATTTAAAATCAATGTATAATTTTCTTTTTTTTTCTATATCATCAACTTTTTTTGCACACAAAATTAATTCCATACAGACGTTTCTACTCCCTGCTGTTTCCTCTTTGGGACTGATGGTTGCACACCAGTGTTTGTGTGGCAGCTTTCACAAACAAACCAAATTATCTGAGCAGGAATTGATTTCATCGATGCAAACGTGCCGAGTGCAAACAAACTCAATGAGTGATTGCAAATGAAAGTTATCAGGAGCTAAGAACCAAACGCATTTGAGAAGAAATTTCAAAAAATGTAAATAAACACCCTGGGGTTGTGTGTTCAAATCAAGGGCCAGATAAAACGATTGCATCAGAGCAAAAGATCAGAAGTTCTTCAGCACAGGGTTCATCCCTGTGACTCTTAATACAAACTGCAGTTAGAACTTTCCATCACTTTATTGGGGGGAGAGGGGGTGTACTGTCCTCACTAAGAGTTTCCTCCAAACTATGACAGACAGATGCGGCAGAGACAGTGCCCGGCGCTTTCACGTCACTCTCTCCTCATCTCCATCGACGGCTCCTCTCTCTCTCTCTCTCTCTCTCGCTCTCTGTTGCAGATGTCAGAATCGCGGCGGGCAGAAACGTTCTGCTCCTCATTATGCAAATGAACTCCTCTACTGATGGGCATGTTCTGTTTTGGGATTTCCAGCCTCTTAGTCACCAGTCAGATTGAATTTGAGGAACTTTACAGAATTTGTCACCGGAATCAAACATTATTAAAGACAAAAAGTCATCAGAGAGTCTGTGGCTGATTAAAAATTTTAAAATAACACACAAAAAAATATTCAACACCTGTTTCATGAACCTTTTATTAAACTTCAGATTTCGTTCATCCTGTATTTTAAATTAGGGACTCTGTGTGAAGTTTATTAGTACAGTTAACCGTGGCACTGGTGGATTTTTACAGTGAGTTATAAAAGAATCCAGTTGTTGGAGCAACTGTTGTGTTCACAAACGTAAGGAACCTCTTGTGCAATGACATTTACAGAACACGGGTGCAGCCAAAATCCCCTAAATTTGTGGAGGCTGATTTCAATACTCATTAAATGTTGTGCTGAGTGCAGCAGCTGAAGCATTAATTAGCAGCCGAGGGGGGGAACAGCTAATGTGCAGCTGAATAGCTAATGCACGGGGGTCTTTTTTAGCAATTTATTTTATTGTTTGTTTGTTTTTATTCACTTGTTTTGTTTTTGTTGTTTTGTAGAAGGGGGAGGAATATTAAAAGAACCGTGTGAAGTGGCCAGAAAAATTCATTTAAAAATGTAGATCATGAGAGTGTTCGTGTAAAAATCATTCCTCAGTCCCAGGACCTTGACACTTAATTAAAATTAAAAGATGTTAATAATATTGTTAAGCTTCATGATAATATTACTGTTGTTCGTTAGTAATTACTATCAAAGATCGTATGTAACATAATTAAAAGGCCTTTATCTAACAATTGGCCAATTAAATACTTATCTTACATAATTATTTTAGGAGTTTGACATTAGGGTATTTTTTTTTAATGGAGGTGAAGCGCTGAGGAATATTCAACAAAGACTTTTTTAGCCTAAACGTTTTTTGTTTTTTTTCACAAGCTAAATCAAGTCAGAATATTTTTTTTTACGTTTCTTTTTTTCTGACAGATTTAATGGCTTATAATAAATAGTTCACATATGATTGGAATTGTTTAATATTGTGACGCACTGTCCGACTGAAACTTTTAATTTTTGTTCATATTTTTTAGCAAGTTTGACGCGATGGAGATATTCAACTCTTACATGTGAACTATTCCAGGGAAATTATTGAATGAATTTGATAAACTAGAGTTTTTTTAGCGAGTGGATCCTGAACTGCTGCATGTTTTCTGGTAGTAAATAGTGAGGGTTGTTATCATCTTTACACCCAGCAGCACATCATCATCAAAAAGTCATCACGTTGATGATGATAACAAGAAACCCTGGTGGGTTCTGGTCATTCCAGGGCGGTTGTATTTCTATTCAGGATCCCTTCAGTCATCTACCGTCAAACAGCTCTTTCTGCTACAAATGAAAGAAAGGTTTCTGTGGCATTGGCTGCAAAGCTAGGAAAGTGGCGTGGTGTTATTAGATGTGTTTGTGTTTGCTCTGAGGATTTAGAGGCTCAGATCTCAGTAAGATATGGATAAAGACTGCAGCCCAAAATAAATGATACTGTTACCGTGGCATTAGCCTTAAGCTCGGCGAGCGTATTTGAATTGTATCTGTGAATTGTAATCAGGTATTTTAGCTTAGTCAAGCTCAACCTGGGCATCAGCCATCTGCTCGCTCTCGTCACAAGAACGGTGTGTGTGTGTTGTGTGTGTGAGGTCTCCTGCAGGAACTTGCTTAAAACTCCCTAAAGCTCTTTATTTTCATGTGAGTCCACGAAGCCGAAATCCCAAGTAAACAGCACAGTGTGGTGAGCGCGTCTTTCTTAAGCAAAAGAAATCATGATATTTTCATTTGGGATTTTTCTTCTAGCCAGACGGAATAAGACGTGTTATAGAGAGGGCGGCTCTTATCCAGGCGACAGAGGGAAAAGAGCCGCGTGTGTTTGCCTTGACCCAAGTGACCCCCAGCGTCTGTGTCTGTTTCCACAGCAGTCTGGGACAGTGTCACTTGGAAAAAAGAACTGTGAGTGCCGTGAAATGACTCCCACACACATTTCCACATTACTTTAAAGTTATACGCTTCAACTGTTTACAATTAGATTAATTTCCATCTGGTTTCTCTGAATTGAGAATAAATGACAACATATTCTGCCTGATCATTACACAATCCTTGTATTCATCTTTCTCCTAAATCTTCTAATGCTGTACTTTTCTGTTTATTTCATTCAAAAAGGAATCTAAGAATTCCTGCAGAATTTTGATGATTATGGAAAATGAGCAACTTTTTCCTGTTGAGGTGATGATGTCAGGGTATGTCTTAAAAGTGCACAGTGAAGTTATCATTTAGCCTGCTGGTGTTGGTCCACTGGATTTTTTTAAGTCTTTAGTCTGGGCGACCAGATCTACCAGAATTTTTCTGCCTAATCTTCTATTTTTTAGAAGATGTAGTGAGAAGCTCATTTAACTTCCCAGTAGAATACTGTCGCAGTTCTTGAATATTACAGATACGTTGCTGGAATTCAGCCGTTAATTAAAGCTGCCCTTCCTCCTTTGAACATGTAATACCTCTTTTCTAACTCACTTTTAACTTTTATTAAATTAAATAAACAGTGCCAACGAGAAAGTGTTTAGCACTGCCATATTTTTCACAAGGAGAACGACCAATGAAAGCTGCCTCATTCGAGGACATGAGTAGGACGTAAAGGAGCCACCCAGTTGTGTTCATGCCACATTTTCATTGTGACCACACAGGAAACAGGAAAGAAATAGCGCTCCACAAATCTACTTTTCTCCACATTTTTGTCAAACAGTGATCAGCCATCAACAGAATAAACGGCTCGACATGATTTCTTCTTTGTTGTCTTTTTCTTCTTTCCTGTTTTACCATGTGGTGTGGAGTGCATCTGTTGTACCGCAAATACCATATTAATTACATTTATGCATTTGGCAGACACTTTAGTCCAAAGCGAGTTTCATTTTGAATGAATTAACACATTTTTTTTGTACTTGCTTTCCACAGAATTTGAACCTACAACATTTGCATTGTTAGCACAATGCTCTAACAACTGAGCCACAGGAAAGCTTCAGGCAGGGAGCGTCTTTGCCTGGTCATTGCGTCGAATCCTGTGAATCTCATGTCGGATCGGTGTGTAAAATAGGATTTGGAGAGCTCAGATTAGAGGTAAAATTTCACCATGTTGTCTAGATGCTTCTGAATGGTTTGGAAAAGGCTTTTATTTTGTCAATGTAGAACCTCAAATTAGGTTAATCTTTTAAAATTCTTGCCGGAGTAGCATTGTTTTCTTCCATTTGTTCAGTTGGAGAGTTGGTAAGTACAGTGGAACCCCGAGATATGAATTTCGGGGAGTTTCAGTATGAAAAATTCGAGATACGAAAGGTCTCACGGGAAAGTTTTTGCTTCGAGATGCGAAGAGAAAAATTTGAGATACAAACAACCTCAATCAGTTCTGCTCTGTAATCCACTTGTTTAGTCTGACGTAGCGCTGCGCTTCCGGGTCCTGGCGCTCCTATCTCCCAGTGCAAAAAGGGTCTGATACGCTTCAAAAACATTTAAAATCAGTAACAAACATAATGTTAGAGTCAAGGTGTCGTAAAAGAAATAACGTTTATAACCTGGAAAGTGCTGTTCTGTAGCGCAAATTATAGAAACCCAGTGACACGTTCTCAGAAGTGTCTCTCCATCTGTCTGCGCTTGTGCTTGAAACCGTGTTTGTGTTAGTAATTCATGAAATATCTTGAGAAACTTTCATATGTAGTGCCGTAATGTTCTCTGCCATCCGTTCCACCTCCTCCGACACATCGCTTCACTCGCAAGGTACGGTTTCACTTTTGTGTAAATATTACGTATTTTGCATGTGTTTTATTCTGTTTTATTATCATTTATTACATTAACAATGTGTAGATTTAAGAATTGAAGAAATGTTACTTGATTTTTCTCTGGTTTTCCATTTTTCAAGTTATACTGTTGTTTCTGAGAGCCGTTGCACGGATTAGGTGTTTTACATGTAAAACTTCAAGATACGAAATGTTCGGCATACGAACATCACCCTGGAACGGATTAATTTCGTATCTCGGGGTACCATTGTGCTATTAACCCTTCACTAGAACTGCCTGGAATCTTGAGATTGTACATTTAAAGTACAAATTGGAAGACACTCGAAGGTTCTTTACAACACATTTCTATTGTCTTTAGTGAGGTTACGCTATGAACGCTAGCAATGCTGTCGTATGCGGATACTCATAGCGGCCCTGTCACTACTTTTATTTATTTATCTTGGTATATATTTAATAGCTTTTATTTGTAGGCCAAGTTTATATAAACTATCTGAAAGAATGGTGTAACTTCTCATCCTAATAGCTTCACCGTGTCTCACCGGCTCATTCTCTCTCGTTCTTGCTTCCACATGCTCTCTTTCCCTCTATCTCTGATCACAATCCATTACCACAAATTAAGGCCCAATAAAAATGCTATTCAGAGATAATTAGTGGCTCATTTCATGTGTGTGCGCGTGTGTGTTGGGGGGGGGGCTGTAGGGTTCAATGGTGTGACTGAGCCTCTGCAGCTGGGGGCTGGGGGAGTGAAGTGTGACCTGGGACCCCTCGACCAGCCGGGCCCCGGAACCCCTCACAAACTGGCTGGCCTCACCCGCTGAGACACAGAGCAGCTTGAAATGAAACAAATTATTTCAATCTCTTCTGTTGTTCTTTCTGTCGAATACTTAGCACTGGCACACAATGAGCAGCGCTGATTAACGACGACAGGTCGAGCTTAATTCTGCTCTTAATTAGCGGGAAAGCTAGTCTTCCATTAATCATCACTTAAGAATGTGTTTGCTATGGAAAATTCTCAGGCTAGCGTTTGTCATATTATATTATACTACATTAAATGATATTGAAAATGGGGGAAAAGAAATGACTGTAAAATCACTATATATCCGGTAGATTGAGCCGAAGACAAGAGTGACCTCGAGTCTGGCAAGAAAATTACTATGTTTTCCTGCAGATCGAAAGCGTACTGGAGCATTATCAACCAGTGACCATCTCGGGACACCAGCAGATGCACATGCGCACGCTTTATTTGTCTATTTATATGTACAAAAACCAGTGTTGTTCCCTATGGTAAACCCAAAATTGTTATTTCTGTATGAATGAAAAAATAAAAGTAGAAATTAATACACAAATAAAAGATTGACTAAATAAACGTATTTAAAATACACAGATGAACATGTTTATGATAGAGTGTGATGGATTGGGGACCTGTCCAGAGTGCACCTACAGAACTCAATGGGAGAACCAGAAAATTAATGAATAAATGTGATTAATAGATTTTTACATAAAACAAAATCTGTTTTTCTCTTTTTATTAAATCGTTTTATTTTTTTTTTATTTTTTTTATCCCCACATATGTTTATTTCTGTGAAATACATGCCTGGAAAATGTAATTATTTGCAGTTGATTATTTATATTTATGATTTTAATGTTTTTTTTTTAAGACATGTGCACAATGGTTCAAGGCCCTGTGACACTGAAAGTGAACAAGTGGGTAAGAAAATAAATGACTGTTTAAGACATTAATGGTATCTAAATAAATTGTATTATTAATTTATAACCAGTAACTCAGAATCTGAGGCAAGCTGAAGTGAAATCAAGGCATCACTTGGCTTTTGTGCAGGTGCGCATCCTAATCTTCATTGCATGTGGATGGAGTGGATTATCCACTGAAACGTGTGGTCCCATAGTCGATCATTCCAAATCTATCGAAGTGAACAACTGGAAGGGAACAGAACAATAGCTGTGGTTGTAAAAGGTTCCGGAGGGTCCTTCCTATCTAATCTTTATGGCTGCGGCTTGGGAGGATCCTCCGAAGGCTGCACTAACCCTTGGTAAACGGAATGGTCTACGCTCTTCTTCTTCTTCTTCTGTTCTTTTTTGACAGTTTGCTTTATGGTCCACCAGCTGGATCAGTAGTTTGGATCCCGAATTGAATGAATGAAAAGTTCTTGTATTATTAATATTTTTCTTTTATAACACTTTTATATTAATGTTTTGTTTAGAATAAATTTGTAAGATCACTGTTCTTTTGTTGCTTCATTTATTTTCTAGGGTTTTAGGGTTTATTTTTAATTGTTCTATTTTTCTTTTCGTATTGTTTTATTTTGAATACACTGCATTGGTCACATTTCCCACATTTATTTTCTATTTTGTGTGTTATTTAAACCAATATGTTTTTCTAGCTTAATTCTGTTTTCATAAGTCTTATAAACTCCTTTGTCTACTTCTCAAAACATTATGACATGCTTAGTTCAAATTTGTTGGCTGCGAATGTTAATGTTTACAATGAATGTTTAAAATAAAAATACGTTTTACAATTCGCCTATAACTACCAGCGTTTAGAGCTTGAATATACTGTCCTTTATAAAAAAAAAAAAAAAAACATGTTACTTACATGTAAATACAAATTCAAGTGTGTTTAGTGTTGGTTCTAATGAAAAAAAAATTACGCAAAGCATTGTGGGATATCTGAGGCTACGAAGGATGGTCGAGACTTGACAAATATAGAGAAAGACTCCAGAGAATATGGGACAAATATTTTCCCACATGCACTATGGGTTTTGTTGGATCTTAAGACATAATTTTTAGACACATTAGGTTTATGAATACCCTTGTTTGTCATTTGATTACACATTTATCCAGAACACTGTAAGTTCTCAGTTCATGACCCTTTCAAAGTATGTACATATGCCTTGTGTTCATCCTGGTTCTTTTCATGAAGTGGTCTCCCATCAGGGTATAATAAGGTGCCGGAACACAGCAACTTTATTCAGCTAACAAAGCAGTCAGAAAACCTTTTACACATATCTGAGCCGAGTATCGTAACAATGACCACCTTTTGGACACTACATCTTTGCTTAGAAACAAGAGGGATTATCTCGGGTTAATTAGTCTAATTATATCCAATGATCCTACCAAACCTGGTATTAAAACATCATAACAATTTCCCCAAAACACTCCACTTTAAAATAGTGTTCTCATTTTCCGCCTTGATCTCACGCTGATGCATTTGTAGTAGAAGGAGAAAGATAATACATCCACTCTGGTGGAGATTAGCTTTATTTATTTATTTATGATGAGTTACATTTGTGTTCTCTGCATTGTTTAATGAACTGTATTTTGTTTTTGTTTTACTTGTCATCATGTCATTAAATTAATGTCTATAATTATCGCATTATCTTCACATCCATTACTTCCACTGATGCATCAAGCTCTGTTCACTGCATGGTAAGCTTGTGACAGACGCAGCTATCATCATTTCCTGATGGCACGATCTTTTGGGACAGGAATTAAAATTCATGAGCATTGATAAATAGTTTGAACATTTTTAGTATTCAGCGTTTTCATCCAATTTCAAATCACAATGCTTTAAATATATGCAAGACACAATTACCAACTTTAAAGAGAGGTTATCGACTATAAACTGCTTATTTTACTTCAAAAGTGTGATTGCACTTCATTAACAGAAGGAAACACTGCTCTGTGGTTCCAAAAATACCTGTTTGGTTCAAAATGAGCATCGTAGAGTCAAAGGCGGCAATGATTTTGACTTTTAATATCTTTGTGTGTATTAAATCACTTTAAACGTGGAGCTGCATGGAGAGCATTGGAGATCTCTGTGAACAAGCTGCAGAGCCAGAGGCACTGGACACAGCGGTCACCACGCATCAGCAGTCAAGAGGAATGTTCCTAGTCAGGTGGTTCATCTAATAAGGGCAGAGTGCCACCTTTAACCCGATGCCCAGCGGACAGTAAAAGCCTGTGGGCTGCCCAATCTAGAGGTCAGAGAAGGATGTCATACAAAGCACCATTCGTGTACTGTTCTTGCCAATAATATTGGGGCCCAAAAAGAGACTTGTACAATTATATTTTATAGTTAATTACAAAATAATTAAATATGCATTGAATTCATTTTGGTCTACTCTAACGAGAAAGGAAGTGACTGCTTATCAAGTGATATTTCCAATTTTTCCCAATCCCTTTGTAGAGGTAGATGAAGGAACACAGATT